CAACTAACGACAATTAACAGATCGTCTTGGTGGACGTTTGGTTTGGTTTGGTTCTTATTTCAATAGAGAGATACTCAACGCCTAAACAAGAAACATATAAGGGAAAGAATGGATAAGCAAAGCCTTTACGCAGAGATGGTGGCATAGGCGAATGGAAAGGGGAAGGAGATACTGAAATTTTAAATTGTGCCAAGCAATGCAAAAAGAGGAAATATCTGTAGGCAAGGGTTTGAGCCTGAGATTATGCCAAAAAAGTTACAATGATGAATGTTCTTGTAGAATTTAGGGTTTATCTATCATAATCAAGCCAACCTAAAGTTATAGCCAGCACAAAGTTTTGATCAACCTCATCAAGGGAATGAAAAGATGTAGATGCCATGTAATGGCCCCAAATATATCAGGCCCGAGTCCCTAGAACCTATAAAGTTTAGTGTGCATGTTGATGATTTTATTGGTGTGATTAAGGATGTTAAGGTAGAGAGATCATTCTGGATTATCAAAGTATACTCAGAATGAAATCACAAATGTCTTTATAAGAGAAAGGCACAGGAAGGTTCGACAAAGAAGAGTAGAAGATAATGTGACCATAGAGGCAGAAACTGAAATGATGCAGCTATAAGCCAAGAATATCAGAGCCACTAAATACTAAGACAAGCAAGGAATAGAGCCTTTAGAGAGCTCAGCTCTGATGACATCTTAATTTGGGCCCAATGATAATGCTTTCAGGTTTCATGTGGTTTTTCAGGCAACCAATTTGTGATAATTTGTTGGGGAATCTCAGGAAAGGACTCTTTTAAATTTGAGGAAGGGATCCCCTGGAAACCAAAAGAGAGGGTGTAGAGTGTAGTCTTATGGATAGAGACAAGTCCTATAAAGTCAGCTCACCTATTACCCAAGAACTTTGCCACTCTATCATTTAAATATATCGACCATGTCTGTTGGGAGAAAGATGAGCCTTTCTGTAACTCTCAAGAGTTACAGTTTCAGAAACTCAAAGGGACAGTTATACCCTGTCCTACAGGGCCATTATGAGTAGCCATCAACTCAATGGTGGTGAGTGAGATCATGCCCTGTACTTATTTGCTGTAAATACAAGAGAATTGTGGTTAATCTCAGTGTTAAAATAGATTTTATCTCAGATGTTTCAGTGAATTCGTCAGAGAAAATGTGCAAGGAGAGTATGTGCAAAATGTGTCCAAGTAAATGCTCAAACTACACGAAGCAGCACACAATGAGCACAGAGGAAAAGGCTTAATTAACTCTTATTTGTTAATCTACTTACTTGACAGACTAGCTGCCTTGTACAATAACTCAGAAAATTATTTCATAAGTGGAACATAAATCCTAACAGGCTATATTCCATACATTACAAATAGTAATAAACTACTTTGAAAATGGATAGTTTACTGGGTGACAGTGGCGAGACATCATATGACATCAGTTAGGACCAACAAAAGAACCCAAACCGCAATCTCTCAGCTAAGAAAAGGCAGGAATTACCCAATGGCTGCTAAATTCCTTATTTTGTACTCTCTTTGAAATGAAGCTTTCTACTCCTGTAGATTTTCACACTTACAGTCTAGGACACCCACAGGAGCAGTTCTACCCTGCCTATAGGGTCACTATGAGTCAGAATAAGCTTGATAGCTGTGAGGGAGGGAGGGTTGAAACTTAGACAAATCAGAGGAAGCTGAATTTTCTCCTTGAACTATTCAAATCAGATGACTCATTTCTAGTTAGCGTCCCCCACCCCCTCGACATACTCCTTTCCTGTAAACATCCAGTAACACCCCAACCAACAACCTCTGATCAGAGCATTCCCAAAGCTTCTCCCCCACCCCCCAGTATAAAGCTTTCCCTCTCCACAGGCCATCTTTGAGTCTCTAATACTGCCTGTGGTGGTCTTCCTTGTTAAAGCAAGCTTTGAAGGTCGAGTCTTTGTTTTCTTTCTCTGAGATGAACTTGTCACTAAAGGTTCCAAGTTCATTATAGTTTTATTTTTCCTCTTCTTTTTCTTCTTCTTCTTTTTTAAAAAAGCCACTGAAACCACTATTTTCTGGAGGGATTTGTTTTGTTTTTAAACAAACATACGATGTGTAAATAGAAAAAATCCTATTAAATCCTCCACATATGTAGGCTTTTTTCATAACACCCCTCCCACGCATCCTTCCTCTTTCCCTGTCCCATACCCATCCCTGGCTTTGTAGACATCCATATTATGTCTATTGGTATTTAAACCACATTTCTTCTTCTTTGTTTTTCTTTATAATAATGGTGATATTAAATATTTATATTTGTAAGATTGACTGAGTTTACTAAGCCTAATGTTCTCCAGTTTTGTCCATGTCCTGCGGTGTTTAAGAGAGTTATCACTGCTTTTATTGATGCATAATACTCCATCGTATGAATGTATCAGAGCTTGTTATCCATTCCTCTATCATTTTGGCCTTTGGTTGTTTCCATGTTGTTGCTATTATGGAAATTACTGCAAGAAACATAGGTGTGCATTTATCTGTTCATGTTGTGTTCTTGATTTCTTTAGGGTATGTATCTAGTAGAGAGGCTGCTGGATCACAAGGTACTTGGATTTGCATTTGCTTAAGGATGTGCCCATACTAGTTGTACAAACGCACCAGCAATGTAAAAGCATTCTTATTTTTGCTTTACTGAATTTGCCAAAAGTGTCAGTGTCATGTGATATCTCATTGATGTTTTGATTAGTATTTTTCTTATTGCTAATAATCACAAATATGGAGTCTCTGGTTATGCTCATTTGGTGGTCTTCATATATTTTCACACTTAAATTATACTATTTAATTTCTATTTAAAAACAGAAAATAGAAGAAAAAATCCAGTCATTTACAATATGAGAGTATGTAAAAAAGTATTGCTACAAAATCATAGATTCCTTTATTAAACAAAAATATCAAAATGTGAATTGTCTCTTGACATATTTTCCATCTAAGCCTATACACTTCTGAAGACCTGTGTTTCAATCTCTCTGATCCTTCTCCAAGGAATTCTGCACACTTCAAGAAGGCAGCTTTAACATCTTTAAAAAACTAAAATCATGTTCCTTTTAAATATTGTCATAGTTTGGGGAACAAAAAGTAGTCTGAAAGGGCAAGATCAGGGCTGTAGGGTGAATGGGGTAAGGTTTCCTGATGAAATTCTCATAGGAGAGAGAGTACTTCTACCCATCAAAGAATGAGAAGACTCGTTGTCATGATGGGGGAGAAGGGCTGAGAGGAGGGGCGTAGTCCTTGGTGCAAATTCACACCTAGCCTTTTTCACACCATTGTACTTTTCAGTTCTCTTAAGTCACCTTCACATTCCGTCCCTTTGATCATTCCATGTCCTTAGAGAAAATCTACCCAGATTACCCTTTCAGGATCCCCAAAAGCAATTGCCATAATCTTCTGAACTTCTCTCTCTACCTTGAATCCTGTAGATGCTCTGGAAAGTTCCGGTTTTGATTGGAATTTGGGGGGCACGCCAAGGAGACTAAAGACAAGTGTATGCATAACTGGGGGAACTTGAGTTCAGTCATCAGCTGTTCAGAGACATGTTCAAACAGGGTTTGTTTGGAATAAACCTGTGCATGGATGACCTGGGACCCTAGGACCAATATCTTTACTCCTCTTAATATACTTCCGGAATCAACTAATTACAAATTATACAATTATGAAGCTCCTAGTCACTTTGGAGAAAGAAAAACTTCTATTTGTTTGAAGGTTATAAAATGGAAATTTTATGTATGCAATTTGTACTATTTGAAGGAATTTCAAAAAGTTTGTGAAACATTGATATTAAAAGACAATAGAATTTTCACACAAACTTTTTGAAGGCCCCCATATTTGCTTGTGCTTCTAGGATTATCAATTTAATTTTGGTAAAAAGTTTACAAACAGACATACACCTTTGGGAGGGGGGGAGTTCGTAGAAAAATGATATGACAGAACAAACAAAGGGTGCGTATTTTTCTAAATGATATTTTCTATAATGAATACGTCTCATATAATAAAAATATAAACTAATGCTGCTAGATTAAGTTTCGTAAATTCTTAACTATAAATATAAATATATATATATATATATATATTGATATTCCTCCTTCAGTCTAAAATATTTTCTAAAGTGCCATAATTTAAATCCAGACTAAAGGTGTCATTAAAATGAATTTCTTAAAATAAATCTCAAAATAAGCACTAGGGAAGATTATAAGTAATAGTGCAGAGTGGAGAAATAAAAGCATTTCCCACTATCCTCAAATATTTTTCTCAACCATTCCCCACCACCACCCCACCCCTGTAAAAGAACTCATTTCTGATGATTTTGAGGAAGGTTTGTGAGGAAAGAGAACTCCTAAACTGGAGAATCCAAGAAAAATGCATCACAACATGGCCCCCAGTCTGGACCCACCCGGTTCAGTCTTATTTTCCTCCTGGAATGTAGGCCTTGACAATTAATCATGTTTTTGAGATCAGCCTTCCTCGCCAATTTTTGCCTAAAATTCTAAAATACGTCTGCCCCGTGAAATTGGGAAGGAGCGCGCTGCCCGTGGCCTCTGCATTTTTCCACACGGGCGTTTTTGTGTTAAACAAGAATGAAAAGTTTGCTGATTCTCGACACCAAAGTTTTTCTGTTTGTTCGATTGTCGTAAAATTATGTACAACACTCTCTACACAAGACACGATCTCTGGGTTGACATTACTTCGAGAGCTCGCCAGGTGCATCCACTTGGAGGACGCCGTCCCTCTGAGCCCCGGGAGTCGCGGACCCTGCCCGCCCCGCGGCGCGCCCCGGCCGAGCGCTCTAAGCCCTGCGGAGCCGCGGGCACCGACCACCCGCCCGGCCAAGGCCAACAGCGACTGAGCGGCGTCACGGCCAGGTGTCCAGTCACGGTACCCAGAGGCCCCCTCCCCCCGAAGCCCGCGCAGCCAATCGCGGGGCAGAAATGCGATATGGGCGGGGCTGGCCGGGCAGCAACCCCAACCTTTTAAAGGCTGAGCCTAAGGCCCCTGAAAACAATTGTGGACTCCTGTGACCCTGTCCCCGTTTGAGCTGACTGCGCCTATGCCAGCCGCGGGCCCAGCAGGTAAGCGCCCAGACTAGGGTCGAGGTGCCAAAGGGGCGGGTCCTGGAGGAGGAGACCCCTGTGGGGACCCTGGAGGAGTGATCAGCGTGACCCACTGGAGGAGTGACGGGTGCCGACTGTGGCCCAGCGTGCGGGTCCTGTTCAGATCGGAGCGGGCGGGGGCTCGGGCGCCCAGGTTGGATAAGCCAACTAAGCGAGACCCTGAGCCAGCTGGGCATCGGTTGGCCTGGGGGCCCCAGGGGCATAGAGTGCCAGGGCCGTGGTGGGATAAGCTTGCTCCTGCCACTTATCTGCCAGCCAGACTGAGGGGGCGGGTGTTTCCTGCACCACCGCTGTCAAAGTCTTGGGAAGAAGTGGGGGCCATAAGCAACCCTAGCCCCGCGGAGCCTGAGGTGTGACCTGGCCCAACCTCTGAATCCAGGAACTCTGCCTCTGTACCAGCACGGGTGGCGGGGTGGGGGGTGGTGTTCATGGTTTGGGAGCGCATTTGGGGGCACAGTGTGGGGGTGACAGGAAAGGATTCAAATCAAGAAGTGGAGGTTTGAGGGGGGAAAAAGGCGGGGTTGGAGGTGGGTTTAATACTTATGATCTGCTGTATATTAGGCAAGAAGAAACATGAGCAGCAACAAGTTGCCCAATAGACAGCGTAAGCACGTGCTTAAGTCATCGCATCAGCAAAACAGAGGCACTGGTAGTCCAAACTAACCACAGTTACCAAACAGACAAAACCCCCCAAACCCACTGCCATCAAGTGGATTCTGACCCCTATATAAGGTTCTTGAGCCTTTAAATCTTTATGGGAACAGATAGTTCCATTCTTATCCCTCACTGGTGAATTTGAAATCTTCTGGTGAAGCCAACACTTCACGGACAGTGCCACCAGGGAGTTCCTTTCCATGCAGACAAAACTAAAATTAAAAATAAATAAAAACTGCCGTCGAGTCAATTCCGACTCATAGCGACCCAGTCGGACAGAGGAGAACTAACCCTGTCTAACTCTTTACAAGAACAGAAAGCCTATCATCCGCCAGCAGAGTGGCGTAACCCACTATACCACCACGCCTCCAAGCCAATAGGACACTAAAAAGCAGCGCTGCAGTGGAAGGGAATCAGCTGAGCACTAAATGAAGTTGATACCAACTCCATTCCTGGGAATATACAGTCCAGAAATAAAGTGAATTGAAAGACAGGAACTCTCCCCCTCTTGTTTAAGCCTTGAAGCCTCTGTTACATACTTACCTTCATTGGCATCTCTCTGCTATGACCCCTCCCTTATAAAGATTGAACTGCTAACTACAAGGTTGACAGTTCAAATCCACCAGCTGCTTTACAGGAGAAAGAGGAGGCATTCTCCTGCTTCTGGCAAGAGTTACGGTCTCGGAAACCCAGCAGTTCTACTGTGTCGTAGAGAGTCACTTTGAGTCAGAATCAACGTTTGGTTTTTCGTTTTGTGTCTTGGTGGTTTTCTTGAGAACATAGAATTCTTTCTAATAAACGAGGTCGGAGTAGGCTGTGGAGTCTAGCTCTTGCTCGATATGGAACAAGAGCAGTAACTGGGCAAGGGTAGAGTATATTAATGGATAAAAAGAATTTGATCCGTTTTGAAAGACTAAAATTCCAAAACTAAAATAAAAAATATGTAAAAACTGCCATCCTTGGCCAAGTCCAGCACCTCCAGCCAGAAGGTGCTCTTTGCTCGGATACAAACACAAGTAATGCACTTGATCATGTCCTGGCTAACAGCCAATGGGAACTCCAGTCCTAGATGAAGCTTGTAAGCATGAATAAATTGACCATTGCATTAAATTCAGGCAAAACTTTGGAACTATCACATTTGCATAAAGTTATACCCTAAATTTTAAAAATAATAATTAAAAATTGTTAAACTTTTAAATATGATTAGCATACTTGCAGATACACTATATTTAATATAATAATGATATGAGTAATAATGTAATATACTACTAAACCAGCAAATGCCCAAATATATAGAAATATTAATGTTTATATAACACAAAAGTTTTAATTTATGCATTGTTAGTTTTGTTTTTTGTTTTCTATTGTGTGAGACACAGTGCTTCATAGTACTCTTTTTATGTTAATAAATGAGGTATTGGGCACATCAAGAGGAAACTCAATGTTTATGGTACAAAATGCTCATGTTTTCAATACATGTTTCTAAACTTATGATACAAAATGCTTCTGTTTTGCAACAATTGAATTTTTGTAAATTAAACGTCCAAGAAAGCAACAAACACTTATAAGAAGATCACTATTATATTTTATCAGAATAGTCATGTATTTATTTGTAAGGAAATTGATTCCTCAAGGAAATAAATGAATACATAGATAATAAAGCCAAAAAAATAATAATAAAGCCTATATAAATGTATTTTTATTTTACATTTTCCTTCAGACTGCCTTTCTTTTATGAAATGGATTTTTTAAGTTGTGTTTTGAATAGCGATGACACATGCCAACACCTATTGAAACATGTATATATTATATCTCATATATCCCATTCTAATGCATGCGTAAGCAGAGGGGGGCAACAAATTATTAGAGCTTAGAGATATTACCAAAGGAGCCCTGGTGGCATCGTGAATTACATGTTTGGCTGCTAAACGCAATCTCAGCAATTTAAAACCACGAGCAGCCCTGTGGGAGGAAGATGAGGTTTTCTATTCCCATAGATTTACAGCCTCAGAAACACTCAGGGCAGTTCTATTCTACCCGATAAGGTTGTTATGAGTCAGAAACAACTTTGGCAGTGAGTTTGGTTTTTTGAGGGCTCTCACATCCCTTAGTCCCTGGGTATGGTGGTCACTCAAATATTGCGGGGGGGCCCTCCTCCCCCAGGATCATACCTCCTCTTTAAAAGTTTTTTTTGGTGTGTTTTTTTTTGCCTTAGCCAACCTCAGTACTATAAGTAAATAACCTAGATTAGCCATTTTCTAGCTATTGCTTAAAGCTATATCAATTACCGCCACCGTTTGATAAGTCCTTGGTCTGTTTTTCCACCACATAGGTTCTTAGCCTTTTTCCACAGCCTTTTCAGAAATACTTGGGAAAATAATTTAAATGTTTACACTTTACTTTGGTGGTTGTAGCTTTTCAGTAGAGGATGTGATGGCCTTTTAAGTTGATTAAGTAATCTAAAATAATTTGTTAATCTTTCTTTATTCCATTCCTAGGTCTTTAAAACATGAATTCTTTACTCTTTCTGGTTGCCCTTGGCTTGGGCATAGCCACAGCTTCTCTAAAATTTGATCCAAGTTTAGATGCACAATGGAAACAGTGGAAGTCCACATACAAGAGGCCATATGACTATAATACGGTTGGTATCATGTGAAACTCTCCAGAGAATAGACCTTGGTTGTTGGGAGTTACATGGCGTCTTCTAGAGTCCAGCACTTATCAATACTTAACTTCACAGTGTCCATTTCTGAGAGCAGTGTGGGTGTGCACTTGTCTGCTATGTCAGAGCTGCGAGTAGAGTGTCCAGAGGATTAGACTTATCCTTGGCCATTATTTCTCTTCCATCTGCTGATCCAGTTAGTGAGAAGGGTTAGGTGTTAAATGGAAATAAAGAATCAGTTATGTTTGCATCTAGAATGAAGAAGGATGGAGGAGAGCAGTATGGGAGAAAAATTTGAAAACGATTGAACTACACAATCGGGAATATAGCCAAGGAAAACATGGCTTCACAATGGCCATGAATGCCTTTGGTGACATGGTGAGTGTGACACGCACTGATTACTTAATTCTGCACCTCTTCTCGGTACTTTAGCAAAATAATCCCATGCTTTTTCAACATTTTCATTACTTTTCATTGAAGACCAATGACGAATACAGGCAGCTGATGAATGGCTTTCAAAACAGAAAACGCAAGAAGGGGAAGATGTTCCGTGAACCTGTCTTTCATGAAATCCCTAAATCTGTGGATTGGACTCAGAAAGGCTATGTAACTCCAGTAAAGAATCAGGTATAACATGATTCAAAGTCAGATCTATCTAGTGTAGTAAAGCCAAAATGGAATTGACCTCATTGCATTGCTAGACTGTGGAGTGACACGCTGTTCATCCCTGCCCCTTGGGAGAGTATTTAGATACATGGGCTGTTGTCAAAGTCTTGCTATGTATTTTATAAACCGACTAATTTTTTTTATTACCTTTTCAGGGTCAGTGTGGTTCTTGTTGGGCTTTTAGTGCAACTGGTGCCCTTGAAGGACAGATGTTCCGGAAAACTGGCAGGCTTGTTTCTCTCAGTGAGCAGAACCTGGTGGACTGCTCCCGGTCTGAAGGCAACGAGGGCTGCAATGGGGGCTTCATGGATTTTGCATTTGAATACATTAAGAAAAACAAAGGCATTGATTCAGAGGTTTCCTATCCATATTTAGGAACGGTAAATCGAGTTCCTTATTTTGCTGTCATTCCAACTCTACTTTTGGGAAGTCATACACTTTCAGAGATAACAAATATTCAGCATTCACATTTGAGATGATAGAAACTATATCTGCAACTTTCAGAATAGTCATTATAACTTATGATCTTTTGCATCGTTCTCTGACTGCTCTAATGTGGAGAATATACATATCATTCTTCATATAATACACATTTTTCATAGTAAAATATTTCTTATGAGCAGATAGAACTAGAAGGTCTCATTGAAGAGACACTTTTGAATTTCTCAATTTCACACCAACCAATAACGATTCACTTGCTGTCCTACTTTGTAACAAATTGATTTAAAAATCATTAAGTTGAAAATCAGTCAAGATAGCTCTGTGATCCTAGAACTCATTCCTCGGATGATGGGTGGTAGTAAATCATGTGACTTTTCTGTTTTCCTTTACAGGACACAAATCCGTGTACCTACAAGCCTGAATTTTCTGTTGCCAATGACACTGGCTTTGTGGATATCCCTCAGAGGGAGAAGGTACTAATGAAGGCAGTGGCTAAGTGGGGTCCTATCTCTGTTGCTATTGATGCAAGCCATGTGTCTTTCCAGTTCTATAAATCAGGTAAGTATTTGTATTTTTATCACAGGAATTCAGGCAAAATTGAAAAACATGCCACTATGATTAACACTGGTTTAAAGTCCCCCCTTTAAAATGAAAAATGTTCAGTGTGTATATTTAATATAGTAAACTTTGTACATATGTGCTACTTTTTTACTTGGCGTTCCCATTTGACACTGTACTTCAAGCATTTTCTCATGTGACAGATTTTTCATATGTATTTTTAAGCAAATGTATATTTGTTTAATAGGTATGTAATTTATTCTATAGATGTAACCTAATTTACTTAACTATTCTATAACTAGGATCTACTTTTTTTAAAAAAAGAAGTTACCATAATTAGGACTGAAAAGAATCCCATGACTAAAATTTGTTTTCTTTTGTGTTGCTTATTTCAACTGACATCCTAGAAGGGGAAAAGGGTTTTCCTAATTTGTATTTCAGCTCATAGGTCATTTTAATCTGGATCACCTAGTGATCATATTTTTGGAAATCTGGGAATTTTTTTGGTGAAATAGAAAATAATATTTTGGACTTACTTTGGAATTTTATTGATTCCTAGTATTTTGAGTGTGTTCTTTTTATCATTCATTACTGTTTTTTGCCTTTTTTTTTTTTTTGGCTTACCAGGAATTTGCCCACATCTTGTATATCTTTTCCTTGAGTTTGAAATGCTTCCCTTACCAAAGTTGATAGATTAGATCACTGTGGTACAATCCTATATGGACCTTTTCACCTCAGTATTGAATTTTACTCCTACAGGCATTTATAATGAGCCAGACTGTAGCAGCAAAGACCTGGATCATGGTGTTCTGCTCGTTGGCTATGGCTTTGAAGGAAAAGATTCAAAAAGTAGTGCATTTTGGCTAGTTAAAAACAGGTATATAATTCTACTTATATTTGCAATTGAAAAAGGCATCCTTGCTTATAATCAGTAATTGGATACAGGCCCACAAATTCTTAACGTCAATTTGAATTCCCAGCAAGTCTTATTCCCACTTAAAATTGACACCAAAATATGAATATCTAATTGTAAGATTTTTTACCAATCTTACTAGTAATATTAATATTATATGTTTAACTTAGCATTTCTAAATTCTGAAATTTTCATTTATAGAACGATGTCAGAACTTAAGGGTTTCAAATATAAGATTGTGGGCCTGTATGTGTTTTCTGATGGTCTTAGGCGATCCCTGTGAAAGGGCTGTTCAATCCCCAAATGGGTTGTGACGCACAGGTTGAGAACCACTGCCCTAAGGGTTTCCAAGGCTGTGTTTACAGGAATTGAAAGTCCAGTCTTTCTCCTGAGAAACTGCGGGTGGTTTTGAACTTCTGTCCTTTGGGATCCCAGCCCAATACGTAAGCACTACAGCACCATTCACAAGGGGAAGGAGAATCAAAGTGAACACCAGCCCAATGCCAGTTCTTATAAGCCAGAGGTTAGACATGCCTCTACCCTCTAACCTTCATTACCTCTTCTGATACCAGTTGCCCCTCCCATGCCATTCTCTACTTCTCTGCTAGGTTTGATAATCTATTACAATGGCCCCACAGAACTCACACGGGATACGTATGATTATGGGGTTTATTAGGGTAAGTTAGCAGATTACAATTTGTGCTCAGTGATGCTCAGGATACAGTTCTTCAGTCAAGACAGCCTCTTTTCAGCCATGCCTACAGGCAGGTCTATCTCTTGTTTGATTCTTGACCTCTGCTCTGTTTGGGTAATGTTACAAAACTCTTCTGGCTCTCAACTGATAAGGTACTCCGCTTCATCAGGAAGCCCCATTCCAAAGGCACTAAGCCCTATGGTCAGCAAACTTAGTTTCCCAGAAAATGCCCAAGAAGCACACCATTCAGCTTTCTTGTTCTGTGAGCCGGGAAGCCTGCTGCACTGTCTTGTTCTCTTGGTTCTTCTACCTCTGCTGCTACCACATTCCTGCCATATCTCTTGCCATCTTTGGTGCCTATGCTCTGTCTCCTGAATTGAAAAGGATCAGTGTGCATGAACGTTGGGTTTCAAAGGATGCACTCCATTTCTAGCTTTTTTTGGTGGGGTGGTTGGGGGGGTGGGAGGGTGGTGGTGTAGAATACTGCTAATGTATGGCATATCCTTTATGCATATGAGATGACTCGTTTTAAACCTAGCGGGCTGTCACAACTGATTAATCTCCATATTAGGGTTGCGTAATCCCACCCCACAAGGGTGCCAGGTACCTTATTACATTTTTAACAAGCTGTCTAATCCTCTTGGTGAGTCACAAACACCTTACATTTCCTATGTTATTATATAGTGGGAATTACAAATACTATAGTTGCAAAACCACCATAAGGTACAATGAGCAGAAATATTTACCCTTCCTGATTATTTCTGTTACATTTGAAAGATTCCCAATGGCATCTATAGCTTTTCAGTTATCATTTGGTGCCCTGCCATGGCATTTTACTTCTAAGCCCTCGGAGGTCTTACGTATTATCAAATCAACTTTGAAAACTTAAGTTCTTTGTGAAATATAACTTGCCTCAATTTTTTTTATCTTAGAAATTACATAAGATATTATAGGGCATTAATGCATTCATAAATATGTGTCAAAGAATGTAGAATACTGCCTAATGTATGGCAAGCACTGTTTAGGCATTAGCTATTATTAAAAATTAATCTTAGATGTAGTTGGTTCTTTTTATAAAATGAAAAACTTGCTTTTATTTCAGCTGGGGGAAACGTTGGGGCATGAATGGCTATGTAAAGATGGCCAAAGACCAGAACAACCACTGTGGGATCGCCACAGCAGCCAGCTACCCAATAGTGTGACCTGATGGACCATCAGAAAGGAACCAGGATAGACCGGCCACAGGGGTTTTTATCTTGAACTGACCAACTTTTATTTTGTTAGATAAAACACTTGAATAATGGAGGACCTAAGTTGTGATTTTAATTCTGTGACATTTTACACTGGCAAATGTACAACTACTTCAATTAATACTATAAACAGCTTTGTAATTAACTCTAAGGTTTTTTGGATTTTTATTTTGAAAAGAATTGCCTTTTTAAAGCTTTATTAAATTTTAAAAGCTTTACCTTTTAAAATAAAATTTAATTCAGTACATAGAGTTGGGCCTTGTGCTTTTTGTGTGGAGTGAAAACATATATAACAAAATATATGCTATCTCAACTATTTGAATTTATACAATTCACTCACAGATATTACATTATTCAGGTCATTCACTCAGTCTCACTATGCTTTTCCAAATCATTCTACTACAATTAACACAAACACAATGTTCCCTACGATAAAGTCAATTTGGCTGGGCCAGGTTTCTCAGTGGTTTGGCAATGACACCAAATAGTTGTAAAAAGATTAGGGTGGCTGCCCAAATGAAAAAAAAAAAGAAAAAAGATTAGGGTGGCAAGCAACACCCTTACTCAGATCACAATCCTAATGAAATCAATTGAAAGGACCTTTCCTCAGGAATGTGGCTTGCTTCCAGTATCAATAGACACCGGAAAAGTTTGCTTACTTTTTGCTGGATCTGGATCCTGCCCCTGGCTCATAGACCTTCAGTTGTTTGGACTTGAGACAATGGTTTATCTTATTGCCTGCCAATCCTGGGAGCCAACAGCAGCATGCTGACCTTGGATTCATTCACCTCTGCAACCCAAGTCTGGTTTTCCCTCTGACCTGAGTTCATCAGCCACTGCTGCTACGAAGGTCAGATACTTCCTACCTGACATCTGACTCACTGATTTGGAATCTGCCTGAACTTGAACGTGCCTGATACTCCAACTCTGTGAGCCATTTTCTTGATATAATTATATATATATATATCCATATATAAGCTTCACTGGTTTTGCTTCTCTAGAGACGCTAAACTAAGACATCCACAAAGCAAACACCCTCCCCTTTCCCTCTTACCCCCTTCTGCTGTGTGTTCTCTTGATTTTTGCAAAAGAACCCTGCTTGGTGGTTTAAACCCACTAGCCTCTTACACAGGAGATAGATAAGGCTCTCTGTTCCCATAATGATTTTTAGTCTTGGGAATCCTACATACAGTCATTATGATTCAGAATTGACTTGATGGCAGTGGGATTGTTGGATTGGGGTTATAGGTTATACTAGAACTTCCTCATAGGGTTTCTTGTCATCTAAATGGGTATATCTTCTAGGGAGCTTCCGAGTAGGTTTAAACCACCAAGCTTTCAGTTCACACCTGAGCATTTAACTGGTAAGTGTCACCAAGGGTCCTTTTCCCACATCTGGTAATCAGTTATAATCTTTGGTTTTTGTATATTCATCTATGAGAATAAGTTTAGAAATATTGCTACTAGGATTCTAGTTCATACATGCATAAGTTTATTCCAATTTTCAATTAGTAGATAGCCTCAGATAAGTTCATTCAGTCATATGCTTGCCTTAAATTCTTTAGTGTGCTTTTGAAAAACAGGTTCAATTAAGATGGTGGCTTCCCAGGGGATATGCTTGGCCAGTGATATTCTTTCTTTTTTTAAAAGACATTTTTATTGGTACTTAAATACACTTAGGGGTGTATTTAAATACACTTCTGGGAGCAT